CAGTAGAATTTTTAAAGGCATTAGGAAGGACTGGATTGGACTTCAAATCATTAACTAAACTTTCTAAATCTTTGTGAATGTGAAAAGCCTCAAGAAAATCCAATTCGCCTATGGAAGAAGCCTTTTGGATGATTTTTGCAGACCCAAAATCAAAATTATGGTTAAAAGTCCAGCTATGATACGCTATTGAAGACTTGTTAATTTGCCCTTTTTTGACTTAAGATTCATGTTCCTTGATACGAAACTTCAACGCTCTTTTTGTTTGGCCAATATATCTTAAACCACACTGACATGATATACTATAAATTCCCCAAGAATCCAAGACAGAAACGCAATCTTTTAGAATCGAAGGGTGAATCTAGTTATAACCACGTGCAGTGCTGATAAGCACCACGTGTTTCTGTGATTCCTATTTTCTTCTTTCTATGTATTTCTTTCTCCTGATGAGGAGGGACCTTTAGCTGCCCTCGAAATCGATTGCGTGTTTCATTATACCTACGCTAAATATAAGGTTGTTTTTTACGATTTTGAAAGTAACAAGCTATTTGGAAGCATCTACTGCAACACAGCATCTCCACAAACTAAAAAGAAACCATTTACAAGTCGCTCATGGAGCAAAGTTTTATGAATTTTATTTTTCATGATCCTAAAATTAATTTTCACCAGAGATATAAAGATGACAGCTTAACTGACACTCTCACGATTTAGTCCTTGTTCATGCCATGGGTAGTCAGAGGGGGACTGTCTGCACAATTTTAGCAGGCGACTGTTTTCCTGTGAAACAGTATAGTATAAGGATCAGAATGGGGCCAAGTAAGACCTACCAATGTTAAACACAAATAACTTTTTTTATTTTTTGATATAATTATTTTTTTTTTCTTTTTGTAGTTTAGAATTGAATTCTTGGAAATTTATTGTGTAACCATACAGTACAAAACAACGCGTTAAAATTATCGAGTTTTTCTATTTTTGTCAAGATCATTTGTTATGACGCAGCGTAAATATCGGCAATATTTTAATTCAAGTGTATTGTTTGGTTCCGGAAACGATTTCCGGAACAATGATTGAAAACTTTTTGCAGCCAATGGCGGAGCAGAATCCTTTTCTCTATGGGAATACTTAAAAGATGAAGTATATGTTAATAAAACGAACGATTAGACAGCCGAAGCAGAATATTCGAGAGGAAATACTAAACCTTCAACCAGAAACATTACGGGAGTCTAATTCGAAAACGCGTTAAAAAGAGCCAATCTCTGTATCGAGAAAAATGGTGGACATTTATCTGATGTCATATTTCATACATAATTTCCATAAAATATATTTCATGTACAAAAAATTAATCAAAATAAATGATTATTACAAGAGTTATCTGTGTTTAACATTAGTAGGTCTTATTTGGCCCACCTCGTATTAACGGATTATAACAAAGTGCACTACGGTTGTCTGCTAAGAAGCGGGATGTCTTCGTGGAGGACTAAACTTCTCTCCACAAGGTTTAAATAAATTTAAACTGGCTGAAACGTTACGAAAGGAGCACTGGCTTCTATTCAGATCACCTACTGTGTGAATACCACGTTACACATAATATAAATACATAAGGCAATCAGCCTGTTGTTTGGGATTTCACTCCAAGTCGAACTACCAGCATTCAGCCATCTTATTCATTCGGTCACTGGTGAGGTGAAGAATCACGAAATATGAAATACCGAATTTTGGGAACTTAATTAAGGAAAGAAATTCTTTTTAAACTATCCAAGCAACTTCAATAGTCTTCCCTATTCCATAAAAACTTTTGAATGGAAATGCGAATAACGATTAAATTATGATCTTAATGACATTACCTCACTGCGAAAGAAACACTTCAGAGTTTTATTTCTGTAACTACTTCGGAAGACAAAATCAGAAGGGAAAAGAACAGTCGCTTTGAACTTTTGCAGTCTCCTAAACGAAATTCCAAACATTGTCATTTTACTTCGTATTTTCCTCACTATCACTGTAAATATTACTTGTTATGAGAGGAGTTTTTTTTTTCATACAAATCCGATAAGACCTACAAATGAGTATCATTCTTTAAATATGTAATGTACGCTCTAAAGAAGGGCAGCTGGAATAATGAAACAAAGTTCTGGAATGTCATCGACCATTTTTCTAAAAGAAAAACGGAGGAAATAGCTGTTTAAAATGCTCGAAGTAAAATTTTCTTTCAAAACTTCATACAGAGCATCTATTTATTTCCCGATATGTCATTCTATCACTTTATAAATTTGATTTGCAATGAAAGGGGAGGCAAACAAACGGGCCTCCGCGGGAAGAGGGAAATGCTCTAGCTATGCCGTGTTCACGTCTTTGTTATTCTGTAGTTTTTCATGCTTACGAATTCAGTCTGCGATCAGATTTATGGTTAAAAGCGCAGCTAATTGTTTTTCTTTAGTGGGGATGAATCAGTAATTTAACATTTAATTTTCAGTGTACTGTTGTGATTTAATTCAAGATGCTGAAAAAATTATCTGAGTACTTTCACGTAGTTTTTATTTTTATCGAAGTAATACAAAAGTGTGGTGTTAACAAGCACATTTTCCTAATTTTTCAAGTTATTTTGGATACGAAGTTATTTCTTAAAAAATAGCTTTCACCTGATGTACACGAGCTAGAAATTATTTCTTATTCTAACATTATTTGGCCTGCTTCTGCTGGGGATGTGTGCTTCAGTGATATTTACTTTATAAGGTATTTCTCCCGCCTTCTTAGCGAGCCTTCATGGTGTAGTGGTCTGCACGCTCAGCGCGTAATTCAAAGGTCTGCGATTCGATTCCCGGCGAAGGCGTTGCTAATTGTCCATCTTGCCTGCTTCCAAAAATACTTAATGTCTCTACAGTGGCGCTTGAACTAAAAAGGGTGTTGGATGACGATTCTCTTCACCTAGGATTTGGCGATTGGATCCCTTAGAAACCCCAGTCGCCCTTTAAAAGGGGGAGTATATAAGGTATTTCTCCCGCCTTCTTAGAGATCCTTCATGGTGTAGTTATCTTCAAGCTCAACGTGTAATTGAGTTCCCGGCGAAGTCCGCGGTTCGATTCCCGGCGAAGGCGTTGCATATTTTTCATCTTGCCTGCTTCCAAAAAATACCTAATGTCTCTGCAAGTAAATAAATAAAACCATAGCTTTCCCCGCGTTGAGTATATTAAAACTCATATTCAAAATATTTATAATCTTTCCAAACAGATTTTAACAGTAATATATCTGTCTTCCTTTCTTTATGTTAAATAAGGTTGAATGAAAACAGGTGTAGAAACCTTTATTTAAGTGAAGAACATTTTGGTAAATGTTTTTGTTAAAATACTTAATAATGTACATAGAAAAACTTGTAGTCAAAGTAATGACCGGTGAGAAAAGGGCTGATGAGACTGCAGGAAATAAAACCATATTTCCTAGAAAATCACAAAGTTACAACAATATATAGTAGAAATATAAATTTTGAGAAACCAGCTTGCAGTACGAGAGATTAAACTTTTTTTTTTACTCACAATAAGCATTACTTTTTGAAACTATTCTTACTAATTCATTTTTCCGATAGGTATTTTTAAAGCTGTACTTTCTACATATATAAAGGTAGTATAGGGATATGAAAAATCAAATTGTTGGAAGAAATAGACCCATGCATCCCTTATTTACATGCGTACTTTATTTTGTCACTAGTGGTTAAGGTGTTTTAATGACACGTACAAATAAATGTGTGCATATTTTCATATGCATATTTATTTGCATAGATAAGAAACCAAAATCTTTAGCAAACGTTGAGGGACTTTTTAGCCCAAAGGGGCTTTGTCCCTGAAGGACTATTATTTTCGTTTTGCAATTTTGCGTTGAATCACTATAAACGGCGAATCACTTTTCAAACTGTTGCCACCAAGTGTTAAGTCTTGCATTATATCTGAAGAAATTCAATAATGAAAAATCTGCGTAAGTGTATGTCTATTTCTCGCATTGTGATAAAACAGCGATACATAGAGCCATCGAATTTTGAATGACGTAATCCTCCTACGAATATGGGATGTGGAAGGCCAAATATGAAATTTGGAATTTGTTTTATAATCGATTTCATACTTTGTAAAATTTTAACGAATTTTTGATTAATAAACTCAACGATTTAAAAGCGAGCCATGGCGACACTCTACGGGGGGGGGGACCTTTTTATCTCCAGCGCGCGGAACTGTGTATCGGAAATTCTAAAGATAGGCTCATTTTAAAATCATTTTGCGACATTGCTACTGAACTGAATTTTATGGTTTAAGTGCAAAGAACATGATATTTAATAAATAAAGGTAACACACAAAACTTTAAAAAAACGCCCCTATGGACGTAATTTAAAATCTGAAGCCTTTTAATTTTATTTTTGTTTTATCTTCTTAATTAAATCTAATAACATATTAAACTTGCAACGAGTATCCCTTCCTTATGCTTCAGTCGTACTGAAACTTGGATAATACATTGAAGTTGAACAGCCGGCATCATTAAAGATGAATGAGACTGGAAACCATCATTGTCACAAAATGCTATCTGTTCGATTAATACCGGCAACCCGTTGAAGCCATTCTCGGCAAACGTCCTTCGATTCTTATTAATCATGGCTTTCGTCCACACTTATTCACAGTAGCCATTGTGCAAGTTCTTGCATGCATGAATGAGGAGAATAACCTTCTCCCTCCGTCATCTACGCCTGAATAGATCCGACCGTTTGGGCGTCTCCAGTGCTGCTACGCCAGTCCAGAATACTCAATTTTGATGCTGCAAATTTCACATTCTAATTTTATCACCCTAAACTCAGTCGCCCATTTTAGAATATGCTTTATTATATGGCAATTTATCTACAAGTAATATCAACATTTTCATTACAATCAAATTTGGTTTGGTGATAAAGATCCAAAACGCGAATGCACGCACGAGGCCTAAGAACCAGCTGCAGAATTTCTGTGTAGAGGCATTAGGTTAATTGGAAAAGCCGGAGAGATAAAACATGAGCAATCGCCTTCACCGGGAATCGAAACACGGACCTCTGGAATACGCGCCCAGTGTGCAGACCACTACACCACGAAGATACACTAGGAAGGCGAGGAAAATCCCTTATATACTCCCCCAATTATGCTCGGTACCTTATATACTCGTATTAATTTTAAAAGAGAAATGTGCTGACAAGATTTCAAAGTAAGTTTTTTCTGAATTCAGATTTCACAAAAATGTCAATTTCCTCTTTTTGCATGCGATTTCTATGAACTAGGCAATTAAAATTTCGAAAAATTTTGACGAATAATGTAATTATTGCACCCCCATAATTTTAAAATCGATAATATAACTTCTGTTATACCAGAGGTTTAGCCCAGTTCTCTTTCATACTGACAGAATTTTCTAATTAACTATGTATAATTGCTTTATATCTCATACTTGTAAACAACTATATATATTACAAGCAACCTTTATTAAGTATACAAAAAGTAAACATAATTATTAAACTAAATAAATTTAATATGTGTATAATGCAGCAAGATATAATACAATCATGTAAAAAAAAATTTCTTGACGGTGAAACGTATTGACGGCGAAATGTCCCAATGGCGAAACGGCCACGGTGAAATGGCGACGGCGAAAAGTCCTAGACCCCTCCCAGTAGCAGCCAAGCGGTTAAAATTTGCTGAATATTGGTAGTTCGCCCCGGGTTCCAATCCAGGCGAATGAGCTGACTGCAAGGCTGGTTTTCATATTTCTTCAGCCCACCAGCGGCCGAGCGGTAAAGTCGCTGAACATTGGTAGTTCGGTCCGAGGTTCGAATCCCACGAAAGGGCTGGCTGCGTGGGTGTTTTCGTGGTTTTCCCCGTGTGTAACGTGTATACAAGCCAATTTCCCTTAGAAAGTCCTCCAGGAAGGCATCCCTCCCCTTAGGCAGATAGCCCTAGTGTGCTTTGCCATAATTAAATACACCAACACCACATATTTTTCCACATGTGCGACTTGAATACCAGCCAGCTTTCCTTAAAAAGTCCTCCCCGAAGTACATCTGAGGCAAACAGCTCTCGCGTACTTTGCCGTATTTAAGTAACCAACTATTCTACATAATTTACCAGTTCAGTTTTGGGCGTAAGACTCACAAATATAACAAAATATTCGAAGTTATTAAAAGCAACTCAGTAAATGGAAACTTTTCGGGGGGGGGAGTTCTAACAAAATACCACTGCTTTAATGGTTGATCGAATGAATCCATTGAAACAAAATTAGTACATTAAGTAACTAAACTATTATAATCCTGTTGTGAAATATGGCACTTATGCTTCATTTACACTTTCTTACATTTTGTTCCAGCAAGTCGTAAGTGCTTTCACTCCTGATGCGTTCTTACATGACTGATCATCGGACACCCCTCGCCTGGCGTCATCGGGATATGACTTTGCACAGTAGTGGACAGAGGAGTGGTCATCACCATCATCATCACCACCACCATCCACCTCGGCCGCCTCCAAGTCCATCAGTCACGACAACTTCTTCAGATGAAAGAGAAGAAGTGCCCATGGTGCGTGGACCTCCACACAGACGACCAAACAGCAGAGGTGCTCGCTATCATAGAGATGGCCAGTCTCAGTTCTCGGCCGCTGAGTCGTATCCAGCTCCAGGTGCTCCTTTCAGAAGTGGGGGAACTCTCAGGTGATTGAGCATTTTGATTTGATTTCAAAAATTGTAAATGAAGTGCTGTTAAAAAATAACAGCTATCTCCGAGAATACACTTTATTTCTTAGTATTGGGTTAATGTTCGATTAGATAATTATAATTCTGCATTTAAATCTTTATGATGGTGAAATTAACAAAAAATACCAGTTGACCAAGAACGTTCGTGCATTTTTTTAGAACAGTTCTTTTAGTGCGTTAGTATGATTAAATTGATTATGATGACATCATATGTTTACACTCCCTTCAAACCTTATTCTGTGGAGAGTTATTAAGCGGCTCGCACATTTCGCTATTGGCTTTGTAGGAAACGCCATTTTAAAAGAATATGTCGTTGGAAAAGGAGATTTTGTGCCTATTTCTTCACGACCACAAATTAGAATATGAAGCTGCAGATCCCTTTAAAGGAATATGCTCCGTACTTAGAGAGACATCAATAAGTGAATGGGCTGCTCAAAAGTGGAAATCAAGCAGAATCCTCGTCAGACCTGCCAGGTGCTTGCACACAGGCTTGGAGTATCTGATGAAACCATTCAGTCACATTTTCATAATCTTGGGATGACGTAGAAATTAAATAAGTGGGTTGTTCATGTCCTGTCAGAGGAAAACGAGCTTCAACAGTTGGACATTTGCTTGTCTTTGGTGTCGAGCCCATAATAAACCCTCGTCCCTGGACCAAATCTCTACACGTGACGAAAACTGGATCATGTATGATAACCAGGAAAGGAAACATCATTAGTTGATTTCTGGTTCGGTCACATTGGCCGCTAAACCAGATATGCATTAAAAGAAGGTAATGCCGTGTGTTTGGTGGAACAGCTGCGGCATATTCCACTAGAGAATATTTAGAAAGCGGAAAAACCATAATATCTGAAGTCTACTGGTCAAAGCTGCGAAGAATTTCAGCTGCACTGCACCAGAAGCAGCCAGCACTGGTCAACAGACGAGTTCTCTTCCTCCATGGATAATGCCAGACCTCATAGGGCAAAAGCGGCCAAAGATGTGATGAAGGGACAGGGATGGCTAAGCCACCTTATTCTCCGGACATCGCCCCATCTCACAATTATACATTTTTCGCCATGAATGTGGAAACACCATTTCACATACGGAAACAAGAGCCCATCAGCGGCCGAGCGGTCGTTGAAAATTGGTAGTTCGGTCCGAGGTTCGAATCCCGCGAACGGGCTGGCTGCATGGGCGTTTTCGTGGTTTTTCCCATGTGTAACGTGTATACGAGCCAGTTTCCCTTAGAAAGTCCTCCACGAAGGCATCCCTCCCCTTAGACAGATAGCCCTCGAGGCTTTGCCATAATCACACATACACATACATACGGAAACAGGAGTTTCGAAACGCGACGATGTCACAAAAGCTGTATCACAATTTTTGGACTCCAGGAAAAAGGATTTTTTTCAAAAAGGGCATTTATTAAGTTATATTTATAGTTTTATAGTTCACAACAATTTATTTTTAATGCAATAACGTTTTTTGAGCCCTCCAGTGTCTGGGTAGTTCAAATAACCGAATGTTATTAATTCTATCACCAATATTTTAAATTATTTATAAAAAACTGAAAATTTAAATTTGTTTATAAATTAATCAAAAGAAAATAAGCTAATTTTCCACCTTCAATTAAATCATCGCCTGTCTGGATTTATTTTGTAAATAGGTCCTTTCATGAATTTTTGATAAATGTTTGTTAATAAGTTATCAATTCTGTAACCGTAAGAGATGTCAAATGTTGGTGCCAGTTCTAAAGTAGATTTTGAATTTTTAAATTCATAAACAGATGAAATAAAATATAATTATCAGATGTTTGCAACATCCAGAGAAAAGCTACATTGTGTTGTATGAAAGTAAAGACATTATGTTTGGAAAGTTTCAAAGTATACGTTTGAATAAATATCCAAGAAAGTTTATTAAATAAATGGCACTTCTCTGCGATATATGGATAAGCAGTCGAATGATACTAGCAGACAATTCATCGGTGAGCCTATAAGGTATTTCTCCCACCTTTTTGGCATGCCCTCGCGGTGTGGCGGTCTGCACCCTGGGCGCGTATTCTAGAGGTCCGTGGTTCGATTCCCAGAGAAGACATTCGATTCATTATCGGACATTCGGTTCGATTACCGGCGAAGGCGTTGCTCATTTTTCATCTTGCCTACTTCCAAAAAATATCTAATGTCTTTACAGTGGCGCCCGAACTAAAAGCGTGGTGGATGATGATTCTCCACACCCAGGATTTGGCGACTGGTTCCCTAAAACTCCAGTCGCCCTTTAAAAGGGGGTAATATAAGGTATTTCTCCCGCCTACTTAGCATGCCTTCGTGTTGTAGTGGTCTGCACGCTAAGCGCGTATCCAGAGGTCCGTGGTTCGATTCCCGGAGAAGACATTGCTCATTTTTCATCTATCTGGCTTCTAAATAACCTAATGTCTGTACAAGACATCCAAATTAGTTTACATTAGGCATTAATTTAGAAGTCAAACAACAAAAATCAGGGTTATATTTTTCAGATTTTCACAGGACCTCTTTCCATCAATTAGCTATAAAGTTGCACATATTTTGCAGAAATTTAACTTTCGGGTCGTTTATTCTCCCATCAATAAAATTCCGATTTCCAAACTCAAGGACCCCATTCCACATATGAATTCCTGGGGTATTTATAGGATTCCTTGCCAGTGTGGTTTAATTAACATTGGCCAAACTAAGAGAGCCTTAAAATTTCGTGTCAAGGAACATAAGGCATATGTTAGAAAAGAAGGAAACACAGAAGTCTTCTGTTGCCCAACATTGTTGGTCCGAAAATCACACTTTCAATTTTTCTGCTGCCAAAATTATTCAAAAACATCTTCCATTGGTGAACTGGATTTTGTAGAGGCATTTCACATTCAAAAAAATCTTTCCGTTCTAGTTAACGACCCTAATTCCAATCCATCTTTACTTTTAGCCTTTAAAGAAATTATGCTTTAGTTCTGGTTTCATCAACAGATGGCGCCACTAGCTTATTTTCTGTCCAAGCTTTCTTATCTTATCTAATCATTATATCCTATCTCGTTCACTTGCGCTTTTGCAGCTGAGGATGGTGGTTCGGTAAAACCATCGAAACTAGTCCTGTGAAAATTTGAAAAATATAACTCTGATTTTTGTTGTTTGAGTTCTAAAATAATATTTGTTCGGCGTGTTATTGTATCTTAATTACATGAGGTAGCTTACGTACATAAACCTAAGAAACTTTTTTATTCCGGAAACGTCTCAATCTAATTCAGTTTTATTAATTTACTCTCATTCATCTCCGAGCATATTAAAATAAACTAGGCAAACATCCCGAACAATCCGAGACGGTCCCAGATTTTAGATGGTGTCTCGGTTTAGGATATATAGTTGAAATCATCCCACATTTCGTAAATAACTTTGAATTTCGAAAAGCGTTGAAATGAATTTTGTTAGTGCCACTTTGTGTGCTTATAGTTATAAATTTAAAGTCAAAAATATATTATTTATCAAATAACTCTAGATTACAGATATATATTTTGGGGAATTTGCGAGTCAGCAAAAGAATATATTATGAAAAGATTTTGGGGTTTCTATTTTTTTCTATTGTCTTGTAGAGTCCAGGTGCTTTATCTTCTTTCTGTATATTGGAGTAGCAGGAAATTACACAGAAGAAGGGTTCAAACCCTTTATTAACTCTTTAAAAATTTACAATGCGTCAACTCGACGCTAACAAACTTCGCCTCTACTTAGGTGGTAAGTCGAATAATTGAAAATTAAAAGTTGAAATGTTTAACAAGTGCTAAATTAAGCTACAGGGCTCAGCGAGATCCCGAACTTCAACCCCCTTCTAAGCTAGTGGCAGTAAGGCAATGCAATTAAGCCACTTGAACCAGCAGTAAGCAAACATACCTATGGCAGCTAGAGCCTTAACTCTCTCTTTCTCGCACCGAAACTCGGCTTTTAACTATTTCCTTCAACAATGAAAAATTTGCATCCGTTCTGGCGGGCTACAACATTTAACTATTCTGGCACTGACAATTAGGGGAATGAAGGCTTATAGAAAAGTCTGAACTTAAAATTAAAAATGTTAGTTAAAATAAATATAAATCCCTACAGTCTAACTGTGTTTCATACTTGGAATCAAAATGGGCTGAGAAATTAAGTAGTTCGTGGAATTTTAAATGAATCACTTTACGAAAATGTTATCAAAGAAAAAACTACGGAAGAAGCCATAACTTTACCCAAAACGTACTTTGACAATAAAATATTTTATTTATAAAGCTATATAACTTAAAACAAAATACATTTAATAGTTGAACGTTAACTCGTTTAATAGTGGCCAGTATATCTGAAAGCATAACTGAATATGAGTACTGACTATCGATTGTCATTGTTCTCTAATGAGACCACCTACACAAAAGACAGACATACGATGATGAACTACAGCGATGAGTAGTCGTTTTAGGGAGATTTCATTGTAAGGTTTTTTGCTCGTCCAAACATGATTGTTTTGGATTGACTTATTAAAAGTCTGATCACTTTTAATTATCATAATTAGAAAGATAAAAATAATTTAATGCGAGAATAATCGGTTAGAACTATTGTACAAACCTTCCACTTTCGTCTTGAAGATGACATTTCCAAAAATTGTTACCATACGTTATAACTTTTTACATTTGTTCTTCATTTGAGTGTAAAAAATAAGAAAAGTAACAAGAAAATGGAAGATTGTAAATATTAACTTCTGATTTCTTTGCTGAAAGTCTTGCTAACATTTTCTATATTAACATTTTAAAACTGAATGAAATATGTTCGCCCTTACTTTGAGTACTTTCTATTAATTATGATTTTACTTTAGGTCCACAAGAAGCGTTCCGGCTTTGGCATTGGCAACATGGGATGGTGAACCTTGTCCAGTCCATGGTCATGGCGTACCACTTTTTCACCATCAACACTCAGTAGGTCTAAGCAATGGAGGTACACTACGCCGTCATGGATCACTTTTCGATGTACGGCTCCCTTATTATGGTCATCCCCCACCATTTGGACCACCAATCCAATATCCGGCACCTCCACCTCCGCTACTTGAAAAGAAATCATTCCATGGTTCTCTCCAGATGATAGGCAATCCTTATTTGATGCCACCATTAATGCGACCCAGGCCCTTCGTTATTCCTGCAGGAGCAGAACCTTTACCAGTGAGAGATCCTTACAAAATGCGAACACCACCTGCTTCGGCATATGCTGGTTCAAAAGCGGATGATGCTTATAGCGTGGACCAAGTATGCTGTAAAGGACATCTGATTGTATTATGGATCATACTGGCTGTGGTTACCATAGGGGTCATCCTCGGAATTGTGCTTGGTGTTACCATAGCTTGAACGTATTTCTGATGCTTATGGGCAACGCATATTAACGGCTTGTCTTCAGAGCCTGGTCCATTTTAGTCTGGAAAAATGCGCCATATAAACTGATGGAAATAGGAACACTAACTTGAGCTTCCTGGCCGCTGTGGTCAACATGGATATTACAAGATTCATTTTCTTATATATTGCAGATGGAATGTATACGATATTAATTTTCCAGTCTTTATGCATCCAGTTTGACGGTAGGCTGTATACGCTTTTATGTTATTTACAGATTATCTTCGTGAAAGCAATGAGGTGTTTCGCACGAATTTGTGAAAATTTTACAGTGAACAGATAGCAGTTTTTTATTTATCTTCTTAACATTTAAGAATATTCTCATATTTTTGGCTTTCAAATGGAAAAAACAAAATACACTGATAAATAAATGTCCTCTACATTCCAAATGGATGGAAATAATCTAGAAACTGAGTCTTGTAATACATAAGTGTATTTCCTTTTGTATACTACTTACACGTGATTGCCAAATAAAAACTTTCTGAAGCATACACATTCAGCAGCGAAACGAATTTCCATTTGCTCAAAACATATCAACGATTCTTTAAATGAGTTGAAACATTTTAATATCTTGATAATACATTTGGAGATGTAAAATTTGCATAATTACGAGTATTCTGGTTCACTGAAGTCGAGGATGCAGGTATGGATATCAAATAGATTAAAGTCAAAATTACTTAAACCAGTTCTTCAAATATGAGCCCGCGAAAATACTTGAAACGAAGTACAAACTTGAAGCGGATACTAATATTTGAAGCGGAATAGAATTTTTAAAATCCTTATATTTGTGATATTTTAAATTTTGGAAGTAGTTGAATGTCATTCAATATATTCAAAATGTAAATATTTTTTTTAAAATGCTTAAAAGTGTTATTGTTTAAATGATGAAACGTTAGAAGGGATAACTTCAATAAGTTGCCTAACATGATATGACTAAATATGACCTCAAAATCCTGTAACGTACTTTTCATTTCAACTCATGGCAACTTTTGGCAAAGGACGAAGCAGTGTAGTTTATTTCGTGTACATATATATAAATTATTTTCCAGTCTTATTTTCAGAGTAATATTCTTTGCTGATGTTTTAAAATATGGAATAATCGCCGCTGAATTAAGAAAGCCTATACTTAATTGGCTATAAAAGTGTCAAAAAATAATTTTTATAAGCTATTTAGATAACGTTAATAATATTTAAAGAACGTCAGAGATGCCTTCTACTCAGAGTGAGAAAATAGCTTCTTTGGCATCGAGAACAGAAACATTGTGGATTTGGAGCCATGATGAATATGTGTTAGAAATATGAGATTCCTGCACGAACATGGCTTATGTATAAAGTATGAAACTAATCAAGTTTGTTTGCATTCCTATTATTATACACTTTTATACATAAAATCAATTAAAAAGAAAAACATTATACAATATTAATTTACTACCTCGGAGTCTATATAGAATACAGATTCGGATATACTAAACATTTTTCTTTCACTTTAAATAAATAAATATGTGAATAAAAATATAAAAATAATAAATCTGAAACATTTAAAAATCAATAAAATCATAGTCAATTCAAAATGTATTTCATTCCATTCAAAAAAAAAAAAAAAAAAAAACACACAGGAAAAAGTTTAAATTGAAAAGTAATTACTATTTAAGAAAGATAACAAAACTGCTGAAGAAATTTCATGAACTAAGGAGAACGAGGGAGTCGTACTTTAGCAATCTCCCCATTCTTTTGCATCTAGAAAGGACTGGAAATCGGTTTCGAGAAAAATTCTATGCTTTATAATTACAGTCAACTTGCTCTGTAGAAAAATGTTTCTAGGAAAGGACAAATGTGCGCTGAATCCAGTACTTTACTGACATTTCAAATGTGCATCAATCAAACGATATCGTGCCTTACAATATTTACAATAAAGTTAAGATATGAGTTGAAACTACCAATTCCTCGTATTTAAATAAGTGTTTTGCGTGTTTATAAAATAACAATTAATTGCATTACGATTATGATTATTAGATTATTATTATCGCGATTATTCTTTTTGCTCAGAAAACGGCTCAGGTCTTTGCATGGCCAGAACTAATGTAATAACTTTGAGCTCTAGTTTAGAATTGGGTCCCCCTTCGATTGGCGACAAATTTGGTTAAAGTTTGGAGATGAAAGCCCATTTCTGGTTACCATGACAGTTTTAACTTGGTTTTAGCTTTTTGATTATTTTAAGTGAAAACAGATCGATGTGTATATTGACAAAGGCAGTGCACAATGCCGAGATTGTGCGATTCTCTAATGTTTTTTTTAAAGTGAAAAATAGATCGATGTGTACATGGACACCGAGTTTATGCAATTCTTTGACTTCTTATTTTGGTTTTGTGTAGAAATTGTGCCTTCATGGCGCCGATCTTGGCGTCAAAAAAGAATTAAAAAAAAAAAAAAGAGGCACCCAATTGTAAACTTTTTTTTTACCTAACTTTGTATGAAAGTGTGTAATAAATTTGTAATTTAATAAAAAATAAAATGATATATGTCTTTAGATGTTTTATGATAGTCATTCATGTTTTTATACAATGATAAGGAAACATTAATTTTACTAGCCGTACCACCAGAGCTGACATAGCAATAAAATAAGAAAATACTGTTAACTGAAATTAAAATTATGGGCAATAATTAAGATATATCGGTGTACAAACGTAAAAAATATGCAGTGCCCTCGCCGGGATTCGAACCCTAGACCTGTCGATTGCGCGTCGGACGTGCTATCCAGATATACCACGAATGCACGCAGAAAAGAGGAGAAAATAGCTTTATACTCCCCATTTTAAAGGGAAACTGGGAATTAAGAGACCCAATCGCCAAATCCTGGTGGTGACGAATTACGGTCCACCACCTTTTTAGTTCGAGTGTCAGTTAGTCATTAGATTATATCAATGCTGGAGCGTGTAAAATGAGTAGGACCTTCCCCGGGGTTCGAATTCTGTATCTCCGAATACGCGTCGGACGTGCTATCCAGTTACAGTACGAAAGTACGTGGAAATGAGGGAGAAATACCTTACCAATTCTAGTTAGCAGAAAAATAAGGAATATATTTGCATACAGTCAAGCTAGTTAATTAAAGAAAAATTGCTATTAATTATCATGCTAAAATTATTTTTTTCAACAGCTGTTTCTTGAAAGAATCCTTAGAATAATTTTCTGCGTTCAGAGAATACTTTTATAAAAGTTATTTCAGCATTAGTTACGATATTTTAACGATTTTAGTTTAACTGTGTTTTCAATAATCGAAAAATAAATGTCAGAATTTTCTGCTTTGCTCCTCTTAAGGTTTAAGTTCCAATGTAATTTAATGGCATAAGTCGAGAGAATTTCATTTATATTTTTCTAAATTCGTATGTTTTTACTTTATTTAATTGAGCCTAAAATTCTTTAATTATTTTATTTCTACCGTACTCGGTGCTAGTGAAGTCTAGCATATAAGAATAGCTTTTACCACCAAAAACGAAAATTTTTTATTTTTTGATTTTACGTGGATCGTCTCACTAAAATTCGCGGGTATCTCTTGAATACATTCACTTTGTTTTCTTTCAGTTTTCAAAACTTGGAAAGCATAATCGCATATGCTTCTTTTAACTTATCTTCCCCAGTGTGGTATTTATTTTGCCTAAATTGGAGGTCAAAAATTAATTTTCCTTTCACACATGCAATCTTTTCGGAAATCCTACTAAGTCAAAATTCCCTTTCCTGTAGGCAAAGATATATTGCCAAGCAAACCCTCCTTTCTACTGTTGCACATTTATAAAATACTCTGTTTTTCTCAAACATATCAGAAGTGAGAAAAATTAAAAGAAACGAAATGAGCCAAGAAAATTTAGTGTAAAGCGAGCTGTCATATTCTATCTATTGGATTAGTTCGACTTCGGATTCAGATTAGTTCTACTTCAGCTGGTAAAATTCGTATTATTTTTTAAGAGTATGATTACACTACTGAAAATACTATTATCATGGATACTGATATCAATACCTTTGAACTAAGTATAAAAAAATTAACTGCCGCCGTGTTAATTTCTAACAGTGTTAATTAACTGCCGTGTTAAACTTTTTTGAAGTGACTAAAACAAATTTTCATTCAAATCAAAGATAGTTGTAATTTAACTATTAAAAGAACATCAATCAAAAAGGATCAGATTCTACTGCATTAAAATAATGAATGCTCGCAAACAAAATAAATAAACACTAAATAAGTTATAAAATTTCGTTTGATTTTAGAAAACCAAACAATTCAGATGGAAACAGTATCAGGTACTCGAATACTATAGCATTTTGAAATTAAAAATACGCATAAAAATTACACCCAATACCAATTAATTCGCATTTTTGGATTTTTAAGTATTTAATCGTTTCTAATTTACGTTTCTTTAAAAACGAATGAGGTAAAAATTTGAATCCCTTTTATAACATTTCGATGACTAATTTTAAATACAAAATCGTACCTCCCAGTTAAGAAAACTGACTTAATGTCAGTATCTTATGTAGAAAAGGCAGGGTCGTGTAAATTAGAAAATTACGATGCTAGTGATGAACACTACAGCTTTTATTATAAAAAAAAAAAAAAAAAAATGAAAGGTTCTCCGAGAATAATGAAATCAGAATCCTCTGAGCAATAAGTTATTTTCCTGAATGCGGTTTTAATATTTTCTTTCATAATTCTGTTTCGCGTCTTTCGGCTTGAAATAGGTGCTAACTCTAATACTTTTTTTTATAAATATTATACCAAAAAGCTCTGAATTAGTCTCAGAGAAATCTTTTCCATTTGAAGAATTTCCAGATAAGTGATTTATATGAAGAACAAAGGAATCGTATCCTTACAAATTTAGTTTTGCTGATACCTTTCTGTACTTTATTACAGAAATCCTTATTATTTGTCTTGTAATCTGTTGATAAACCTGTTTATCTTACTTAAATTTTAAAACTACGCATCAAGTACTCAATATATTTGTAACCTTTTCAAACTTTTGCGCATGCATTCATACCTGAAGTTATCATCAAATGTAAACAAACCAGGGCTTAATTTCTAAAATTAGAAGTGCCAGAGCCCTATGGAAGGATGTCAACAAAGAGGAACAAAATTGAATAAATAAATAAGATAACTATTAAAAATCATTAATAATTTTAGAATTAAATAGTTAATTATCAATTAATTAAAATTATTAATTCTTATTAATAATAATTAAATACAAATTAATTAATTATAATTTATAAAGAGATAACTAAATTTAATAATCGATTTTTAATACATTTTTATTGCCAAATATAAAATGTTCGAGATCAAAATTTCTACTGAAATTGTTGT